TTCACTCCCTTGCTACCCTGGGCAGTGGGCTTTTTCCTAAGGAAGATGGCAACATATTTTTTGGATCTATATATACAATAATTATTAAAGTCTCTGCTAAACATGGCTCCTTGTACTGATGACACCACATTTCATTATCTAGTGTAGCAGAAATCCCCCTTTTTCTCTTGCCTGCATTTGCTCTCCCTTCTTTGGATATGTTTCTCTTTTTCTACCTTTTCTTCCTTCCTCTCTCTTTCACTTCAAGATAAGGAATTGTGTTTTAAAATTTGTATGTGTGCATTTTGTATCTCCCCTTGTAGTTTGGTATTTTTATCTCTTTGTGTGTCATGGCATTTGTAGCTTATATTTTATACTCCTCACCTTTCATCTTTCAACTGAATGTGTTTAGTTTCATAAGTAAATTAGGCAGACAAGGTTCCTTGGGTGAATTTGATATCTTTTATTAGACCAACCCAAATGGTTGGAGAATAGTTATTAAGCAAGCTTTCGGGTTCAAAAACCCTTCGTCAGGCTAAGGAAGCTTCAGCAGTTGGTGTGTGCTCTTCCTGGATGGAATGAAAAGTAAAGAAGCCGGGGGCTGGGCTGGGCGGGGGAGTCAGTTGCCAGGCAGATTATAATGTATCAAAAATCCAATGTCTATGTTTAGTCCCTGATCTCTAGTATCCAGCAGGTTGATGAAATGGAGCACATAGGCTCGTCTCTGGGATGTGTTGTGTAAATTTCCCTTGAGGATCAGGACTGAGAGATTGGAGAGAGAGTGGCCCTCCTGTGAGAAATGTGCCCCCACCGGTAATTGGGTGTTTCTGTCTTTGATGGATTTCCGGTGTGCGTTCATTCTGGTGCGCAGTTGTTGTCTGGTCTCTCCTACATATCTTCCATCAGGGCATTTGGTGCATTGGATGAGATATATTACATTCCTGGAGGTGCAGCTGTAAGATCCTGGGATGCTGATGGCTCTGTTGTGGGGTGTAGTAATAGTGGAGATGTGTCGGCAGGTTTTGCATTTCTTGTCATGGCACAGTCTGGATCCTTCTGGTGTGTTCTGGGCTTGAGGAAGTTTGCTTCTGGTGATGAGGTTGGCGAGGTTCGGTGCTTGTCTGAAGGCTAGGATGGGTGGCTCTGGGAAGATCTTTTTAAGAATAGGGTCTTTTTCTAATATGGGTTGCAATTTTTTGAGGATTTTCCGTACAGGTTCAAGGGATGGGTGATAGGTCATAACCAGCGGTGTGCGATTTGTGGGTGTTTTTCTTCTGTACTGCAGCAGTTCTTCACGTGGTATCCAGGTGGCTCTTTCAAACGTGCGATCTACCTCTCTGGAGGAGTGTCCTTGCTGGGTGAAAGCCTTTTTAAGATTGGTGAGGTGGCAATCCCGGGTGTGCCCTTCAGTACAGATGCGGTGGTATCTGAGGGCTTGGCTGTATATCACTGCTTTTTTGGTGTGTTTCGGGTGATTGCTGGTTCTGTGCAGATATGTATGTTGGTCTGTGGGTTTCTTGTATACTGTGGTCTGTATTTTACCCTTCTGGATACTGATCCTTGTGTCTAAAAAGGGGATGTTGGTGTTGGAGTATTCTAAAGAAAGTCGGATGGAGGGATGGTGACTGTTGAATTTCTGGTGGAACTCAAGTAGAGATTCCAGGTTCTCACTCCAAATGATGAAGATGTCATCGATATATCGTAAGTACAGCAAGGGTTTGATGGTGCAGTTCTTGAGGAAGTCTTCTTCCAGGTGGCTCATAAAAAGGTTGGCATACTGTGGGGCCATTTTAGTGCCCATAGCTGTTCCCATCATCTGGAGGAAGTGTTGATTATTAAAAGTGAAATTGTTGTGTGTGAGGATGAAGTGTATAAGCTCAGTGATATCTTTGGGTCTGTATTCTGGGTTGTAATCTTGTTCCTGTAGATATGTAAGGCAGGCATGGATGCCATCCTGGTGTGGGATGTTGGTGTATAGGCTGGTAACGTCCATGGTGGCTAGGAGTGTGTTCCTGGGAAGGTGGTCTATGTTTTTAAGTTTCCGTAGCAAGTCTGTGGTGTCTTGGACAAAACTTGCTCTGTGGGTGACAAGCGGTTTTAGGATGGATTCAACAAAACCTGATATTTCCTCAGTTAGGGTCCCATGGTTGGATATGATAGGTCTGCCAGGGTTCCCTTGTTTGTGGATTTTAGGGAGCATGTAAAAAGTCCCTGGGTTAGGTAGCGGGGGGATCAAGGTCTGTAGTTTTTCTTGTAATCTTGGTGGAAATGATTTGATGGTATTGTTGAGTTTTTTGGTGAAAAGGGGAGTAGGATCTTCTTGTAGTTCTTTGTAGTAGGTGGTGTCAGAGAGCTGTCTGTTGGCTTCCTTTATGTAATCCTCACGGTTTAGGATGACTATGGCTCCTCCTTTATCTGCTGGTTTTATTACTATTTGGTGGTTAGATCTTAGAGATTCTATGGCCTTTTTCTCTGGTAGAGAGAGGTTGTTATGAGTCAGAGGTCAGAGTATGTAGTGTTTCTTTCAATGTCCTTCAGGGATCTGAATATGTCTGAATGGATCTGGCATACTGTATAGCTTGGCAGTTGTGTGTGTGTGTGTGTGTGTGTGTGTATGTGTGTGTGTGTGGGGACCAGCCCCAAGGTTTATGATTACAGTGTTTCAATCCGCCTAATAAACTAGAATTTTAAGGATCCCGAGTTGGACATTTGTAGCCAACACTAGTTAAGGAAACAGGTTTTGTCCTTTGGATGACATATGACAGAGAGAGGGAAACTCTCAATTTCTTCACATGGAAACACGGGGATCTGATTTTCCACTTGGTGATTGTGAATTTGATGTCAGGCACCGGGAATTGGGGGCAACCCACCAGATTCGTTATTCTACATGAACCTAATGTCCTGTTGCTGCAAGAAATGCTCATTGTTCATCTGCTAAACTCTGATGCCATCTAGTGGGTAAAAGATTTGTCCATCCAGCACTGCCTTAGACTACTAAGATTATAAAAGCCTTAGTCTGTCAGTCTGTCTGTACTGCTTTATTCGCGCTCTGATTGGCTGTCTTGGAGGCAGAGGGGGACAACAAGGACCGGAGCGTGCTGGCCTCACCCCCCCCCCTCCACCCCAGTCAGCTCCTTGGAGCCAGGGGCCAGTGCCCCCCACAACTACAGCTGGCAGGGAGGGGAGGTGGCAGGGAACAGGGGAGGGAGGGGAGCAGGAAAGTGTGTGTGTGTGTGTGTGTGGGGGGGGGGGGGGGGGGGTTGGTGGCTGTGCCCTGCTGCGATTGTGGGCCCCGGCCCGAAGCAGTGGTGGGAGGCAGGGAGTGGTCCTGGCCCTAGCCTGAAAGGTCGGGGGAGAACAGCCCCAGCCCTGACCCCAGCCTGTGGCGGGGGGGAAGGGACGCAGGCCTGTCCCCACCCCGCCACCCGTCCCCTGTCATTCTTAATGGGTAATTGGCTAATACAATTTTTAATTTTCATCTCTTTACTGTACAAGCTGCTGTGGCAGGAAGCAGAACAGACAAACAGGAAAAATCTACATAAAAAACAAGACAGTGCAGAAATGAAATTGGTGAAGAAAATCCTACTAGACCTATGAATGATCCAGCATCCCCTGTTTGTGAGCAAAAGAGACGAGACAGGCAGAGCAGGATGGCATTTGTTACCCTTTCTCCAGACAAATTAATATCATTTTGCTTCAAAATTGGGTTATCAGGGCAATATAGCACAACACAGACATGAATGTTACCAACTTTCCATTGCTCTTGATCTGGTTGCTATAGACAGTTGCTATAAACTCTGGCATCAAATGGTGGATTTCACATTCCTGCCAACACGTACCAGGACATACCAGTTTCATAACAACTCTGGACCAGCCAATGGAATTCATAAATCACACGTAGTCAGATTTCCCAATGCGCAACATTATTCCCTTCAGTAAAGCACTGATAAAACTACATCATTTAATTGGATTTCATTAAATAGCATCAGGTGATCTGCAATTACCTGAAACCAGAGGGACTTACCCTTAGGTGCAGTTAGCAAATACAGTTCCATGTTGCAACATGATTTTAGGGTTGAAAGAGGAGTGGGTCGCAGCCCATGATCAGGCAAAGAGGTTACACAAAATGGTGCACCATCTCTCAGTGAAGCCTTGCATTATTTTACTGTTGCAAAGAGGGAGGGGGTCATTTTTCCAGTGGGAAGGCACCTTACTAATCACCATTATTTCCATCTTTCTTCCCCCACCACTACACAAAAAGAAAAGATGCAATTAGAAAAGAAGAAAAAAATAGTGGATTTAGTCTAAAAGAAATCCTACCTGAATATTTCCACAAAATAAATATATAAATAGTCAGATTTCAGCAGCTACTCAGTATAAAGACCAGGGCATAGGGTGTCTTGCCTAGTGGGTAGGCCATCAGGGGAGGGCCAGAGATAGGAGCTAGGGTCCAAGGGACCCAAATTGAGGGGAAGTTCCAGGAACAGATTCTAAGTTACAGGCTGAGTAAAAGTTCCCAATTCAGAGACCAAGGGCACCTATACATGTGTAGTGAGACTGCTTCGATTGCTCTGTAATTACAGCATGTCAGAGCAGACTCAGTGAACTGAGTCCAGCAGATCATGTATGGTAGTGATGGAAGAACCTAACAAAGCATAGGATGGTTGCACCCATCTGTAAGATGGGAAAATTGCGGACAAACACACTGTTTCTGAACTTTTACAGCTCTTTGTTTATTGACAAAAGGATGAAAAAAATGCCCTGAGGAGGTAGTCCATTTACATGGGGTATTTCCCTCCATTAAATAGAATTTATTGCAGGCCAGCTAAAACTGAATGACAGCTTTGTTAGGGATAGATATCGCTTGACCACTCAAGAGGCACAGAAATATGAATTATTACTGCACATGCTCATTAAATGCCATGACTCATAACAGCGGTGTGGGTGGGCAAAGTGCTCCTTTCCATGGACACGGTTCTGGCTTATACACCCAGCTTCTGTTTCAGCTAGGAATTTTAGTCTCAGCTTCCTTGGGTTGGCTGCCACATGTGGGTAGCTGGGCCATTAATTTCTCTAAGGAAAGAACATATTTAGAAATATTGAAATAAATAGTACACAGTCAATCTAGGGTTCTCTTTACTAAACCTTGGTATAATGCTAGAACTACAGCATTAAAAATCTTCTTTGTTGAAAAACATTGTCCCCAAGCTTTTCTTCTGCCTTTCATGCCTACCTGGTCAGCCTTTAATTTGTCTCCTCTTCCATGTGGTTTCTGAAGACTGAGTGGACCACAACTTTCAGCCCTTTCCCCACCCAATGCTGGGACCTGTACTGAAAGGAACTTCAGGTCTCATTAAAAAAACCTGAGTCATCTCATTTGGGCATGTGAATGAGATGACAAGTTGGCAAAATCTTATTAAGGGGAATTAGAACAAACTCCTTGTCAATGCCTAAGCAAAATTCCCTCGACTTCACCTTTTTCTCACCTCTCTGGCCTAGGCATAACCAATTCAAATTTCTCCCTTATGCTGTTACTATCCTTATCATACTGCTGTGTGCAGGGTTCTTCTGAAACATCATCAAGTATTAACCAGTAAAGTAAAGCATACAAGTTGTGCTCTTCTATAATATGCCTCCCATATGCTAAATGATCACTGATGGACATTTCACCTAATACAAATGCTTAGCAGTTTGTCTGAATTCCTGGATTCTCATTCTTGTGTTATGCAAGAAGAGTGAATGCATATACCTGAGCAGGTGATGTTAAACAGGATGTAATGCTTTTGAAGACAGCCCATTTTCATTCTTCTCCAGATGCACCATGAATCTAGATGAAAAAAATACAAACCACAATGTACAATTATACAACAATTGGGATCATGTTAGAGCTAGGTCACTTTTCAAGATCAATAATTTGTTAATACAGCATAACTGTGAAAAAGGCTTACCTCGTGAAGCCGGGAGGCGGCGGGATGCCACCCAGAGGAGCAAAGCCAGCAAAAGTGAAACTGCGGCGGGCAGAGCCACTGCAGATACAGTTCAAAGAGAAAAAAAGTGGACAAGCTGGAGGGAGCTGGGAACAGCTCCTGCATCGGGTTGGACGCGCTTTGTATAGGCATGCCGGGGCTGATTGCCTGGCCAGATGCTAAAAAGCCCAATAGAACACCAACCCGGGAGACCAGAAGTGGAGTCCCCAGCACAACAGGGAGAGCAAGAGCCCACAAGAAATCTGCAAGGGAAGCCCTGGTGAGCACCCGAGGAAGGGGTCACCCCAGGACTTCATAGGCAGCCTAGATCGGAGGCGCCATCCACAGAGCCACTGTGGACAGCCTCGACCTCTGACAAAGACCAGAGCCTGGTGGGATCCAGCGGCACGGCAGGTCAGTCACAGCTGACAGACAACCAAGTCCAAGCCCAAAAGAGGGGCAAGGCACCAGAGAACAGGGCGCTGTCAAGCACAGACGCTATATAGATGAAGAAAGAGGGCCACCACAGACACCCACGAGGAAAGGTAGCATCACTATGACCATCAGACCTGGTAGACTTGAGCATGGCGAAAAGCTGGAACACCATCCTCGATGACAAATGGTTCCATCACGGTTGGTGGTAGGTGGGGTGTAGGGGAGACGGAGCCCCCATGAAAGAGCCATGAAGGGAGTGACCTGGGGGAAGCATCAGGGGAGGCAGGACCAGAACATCATCCTCCTGATTGAAAAGATGTGGCAGGTGAGGCTCCTGGTACATCACCCCAAAGTTGCCTGGCAACTGACCCATTTGTCCTGAAGAAGCCATGGCAAGGCTTGAGTGGAAGTCACACACATGACATCCGGTAGAGAGACAAAGGAGATTACAATAACATATATACATTATCAGGGGCAGATCCAGGGAGGTGCAGTGGTATAGATGCACCCTCTCTTTGATCCCTGTTCCTCCAAAATTTTAAAACCAACTGCCTGGGAGGGGCAGTGACATTTCAGCTCAGGCAATGCCATGACTCATTATCATCTCCCCAATTCCTGCTTATCTCTCCCTACTCTACAGCTGTTAACGACCCCCTCTCCTTTTTAATGATCTTAATGTTTCACTATTCAACAATCCTTTCTTCTGTAATTTTTCTGTCTGTTAGCAATTCCTGGTACTGTTGCTCTTCTATTTCACACCCTGGCAAACTGTATTTAGCTCTAGCTAAAAACTTTAACTTAAATGTAGTAATATTAACTCAGGTGTGGAAATGACTGATGCTGAAGGCTAAAATTAATAGATTCATAGATTGTAGAGTTGGAAGGGACCCCAAAGGATCATCGTGTCCGACTTGAGCCAGGTGCCTATCTAGCCTCCTCTTGAAGACCTCCAAGATTCTGGCCACCCTTACTGTGAAAAATTTATTCCTAATGTCTAACCTGAATCTATTCTCCATTAGTTTGTACCCATTATTCCTAGTTACTCCTAGGGGTGCCCTGGTAAATAGTGCATCTCCAATTCTCTGTTGTCCTCCCTTGATAAACTTATAGGCTGCTGCAAGGTCTCCCCTCAGACATCTCTTGTGAAGGCTGAAGAGATCCAAATTCATAATTATTAAATTAAAGACATCATAAAGGACATTGATGATCTGAGGCTTTATAGGCATATGTACCTCATTAGCACTGACATAAGAAGAATAAAATCCTCCTTTCTCAGAGAAAGTGAAGGAAGATCATTTGCAATTCTGTGGAGAGGACTTCATCCTGTGTGGATACTGCAGCACTGAAGTTCTGCCACTATTCTCAAGCAGCAGAAGAAATCCCAGCTGTGACACCTAAGGTCTTCTGCCCATCTACTTCCACTGCACTTTAGTGGTATTGGTCCCAATGTCAAATTCCAGCTCAATTCATTCCCTCCCCAACCCTACCCCCCTGAGTTTCTACCATTAAATATATTTGCCATTTTCTGTTGTAAATGGTTTTGTTATGTCACTCCATGCTTTTAAAACAGCAGCTAGGTTCTAAGCTTGCATTTCAAGTATACAAATTTTGTAAGGGACTTTGGAACAAACAGCATTTAGGATATTCAGATATTTTTCAAAGAAATGTTGTAAGTAAATCAATTATCCATGAATCTACAAGCTCTGTCCAATGCTATTTTATATTTACATTATTGTTTTCACACAGACACAAACACGTTTCCCTTATTGGTGACAAGTTGGCTTCCATATCAATCATATCCCAATCACTAACAGACAAATTTGGATTTGGACCTGTTGAAAAAAGACATGAGTGTTTCTGGTATAAGGTAAAGGGTCCTACAGAGGCTCTAAGATTTATATTCTGTTTGGAAGAATTATTGAAGGCACACTAATTTAGAAGGGTGAGACTTTCAGAGGCCAGCACCCAGCCATTCCCACTGTGACACGTAATGAGTATGCACAGATCCTTAAAAATCAGGCCATTCATAACTAGCTGTAGCTACCTTCTGACTCACTGATCTGATGTTCAGTTACTCAGGGAGAGGAACTGAGTTATACTGTTGCAGCAAAACATAATACAGAAGAAAAAGAAGAACTGGATTACATCATTAGGAAGTCAACAGACATCCTTAGATCTGCAAGAGTTGCCCCTGAAAAAGGCGAAACACAGGTGAAGACAAGAGAATAGAGCTGTTCTCTGTTGATCACTCATTCTTACTTATCCACACACAAGTGCCAGAAGCATAAATGAGAAAATTCTTTTTCTATAGGTATAAGTTATTTGATTAATTGAATAAAACATAATGTGTTCATGTGTGTGTGTGAGAGCTATGGATAAAACTCCATTGCCCATTTGTAACTAAAATGTCCTGAGAATCCCAGAGAGGTAAGGACCCAATACAATACCACCAGAACTTCTAAGAACTGGAGGAAAAGAGGCAGGCAGAAGAAGCCCAAACACAAGCCAACTGGGTGAGGTGGGGTCGCACAGGATTCAGAATGTGGTAAGAAACCAATTAGCCAGCCATCTGCAGAACAGTATTACAAATGTTTTTATGTAAGTGTGAGAATTTTAAGCTATTTTAGATCTTATAACCTAGCCTTACTCAAATGCACTGGGTTTAGTTATCTTGGTGGATAATATATATGCAAAACATATAAAAGCATGAGTTTAAAATTCTTAAGACTTTATGTGAAGAGTGCACTGAAAAAGGTATCTGTAATCTGTAGATAATTAATAGATTAAGAGCTAATACACAGCATTGTTCCAGGGCTGGGCACTGCAAATTCTCTTATGTAACTTCGTACGTAGCGCTCTTGGCACTTGCATCCAAAATGCCAGCAGGCTCCAGATTGTACTGCTGGCTTCCCAGGAATAGCTGTAGGTCTTCCAAGCTCAAATCAGTGCCCTCCTTTGGCTCAGAAATCTCTGTTCTGTGGAAAGCTGAGAGGAAAATCAGCTAGAATTATGAAACTTATACACTTTTATTTAGAAAATTTGACTCAGTGGCTTTCCAAAGTCATGTCCATTATTTGGCAAGTTTACTGGCCACTTTTAGCCCTGTCTTATGCCATCCTTTTCTGGATAAAGCCCAAGAGGTAGGACTCAACAGCCCTGTTAACAGTTCCCATTAGTAACCTGTCTTGGCATTTTTTTGGTTTGTTTTAAAATGTGTTCCAGTAAGTCACAGACACAGTGAAGAAAGAAAGCACCTAGACCAGGGGCAGGCAATTATTTCGGGTGGAGGGCCACTTACCCAGTTTTGGCAAACTGTTGAGGGCCACATAGGTAACCCCGCCCTTTGACAGGAGCCTCGGCCCCTGGTCACCATCAGCGGGGCATAGGCTGGCAGGGGTCTATGGAGCTGGACTGGGCTGCACCAGCAGGGAGAGGGGGGAGCTCCATAGAGCCCCTTCCAGCCAGGACCCTGTACTCCTGCCACCCTGCTCTGGGCCCTGCCAGTGCTGGGCCCGGGACCCTGGTGTGGGCCCCACACTCCCTCTGGCTCCTGTGCACGCTCAGTCCTAGTGCCTCCCCAGCCCTGTGGTACACGTGGGGGGCAGTGTGCAGCCCTGACCCCGCGCTCACCAGCAGAGAATGAGTTGGTGCTGAGTGTGGGGGGAAAGCGGCCGCTCCCCTGCCCCATGGCCTATGTTCCCTGCTGCAGCCACTCGCAGCCCATGCGGGGCTGTCCTGAGCAGGAACAGGCAGCCCCACATAGCGGGGGCTGCTTTCCTCTACACCAAGCAGCTGCTCCTGCCATGGTGCAGCCCTGATGGGCAAGCCCAGAGCTGGCATAAGGCCCAGGCTGGCAGTGCGGGTAGGTTACAAGCTGGCGGCGGGCACC